TAAGTAGGCTCTTCCAGCTTGCCCCTTTCAGGTGGGGGTGGGTGCTCCTAAACCCAAAGGAGACGGTACCGACCCCCACCTCAGTGGGGGTAGATTGCCCAGCGGGGCCCAAAGATTCCTTGGTGGGGGAGGGGACTGTGTTCCTTGTCCAGAAAACCGTTTCCCTTGCTTTGTTTTCGTTTTTTCGGTCCCCCCGGGGGCCCTCGTCGCCATCGCCGGATTCGTTTCGAAATTATTGTCAGGGCGCACCCCAGGACAGGGCCGAGGAGTAGCGGTATCGGTAGTTATGGGTTTTCCCAGCAGGTGGAGGGGGAAGTCTTCTTGGGAAGAGGCTGATGCTTAGAATATGCCAACATTGTCTATAGATGTACGGCCTGCGTTTTCTACGAAACGGCTTCCTCCTAAGAGGCCTTTCTCCCTCCCCCTACCCCCTTCTTTGCGCCGCCAGGGGAGCGAGAGCGGGGCAAGAGTGGGAGGATCAGGGACAACGGCTGTATCCGCTTCGAAATTCTGGTCACACTTCACCCTGGGAGAGGTCCTGCGATCGAGGCTCGGGTTCCCGGTCGTTTTCCACCGTCGGGATACGCTCCAGCAACTGCGCCTCGCCGACGGCGTTCCGAGGGTGCCTGGGCCGTCCCGACCGGCCCCTGGAGAGCCGCGTCATGGCCCAAAAACTGGGCGGCAGCGTCAGGGGGGATGCATCGACCCCCGATCGCCCATTCATCGCTGATCGGCGCCCAGGAACGTTCGGATTCGCCGTTGGGGGCTTACCGGGTTACCGGCGAACTTTCATCGCCGACTCCGGGTTGATTTTTCTCCTACTCAGCTGGACTCCCCACGACGCTCCCCCTCGTCCAGGGGGTCAAGGGTGCGTCGGTCACCACCCTCCAGATCCCAACTAAGCCCGAAGGCTCCAATCTGCCCTCCAATCCCAGTGGGAGGGGGGTGGGGCGTCGGGAAACATTAAAAAAACACACGAGGGTCTTCGGGTTAGGTTGGGGTGGTCTGGGAGGTGGTCACCCACTGAGCTGGTCTCCCCTCGACGTTCTCCCTCGTCCGGGGGGGCACGGGGGGCATTGGGGGGCATTGGGAGGAGGGCGGGAGCAGGAGGGGAGCAGGAGCAGGACGGGGGCAGGACGCGGGAGGAGGCGGAGGGAGGAGGAATGGATGACGAGAGGCCGGCCGCGCGCAGAGGGGGGGTAGGGGAAGGGGGGAGGACTTCATAGAAGCCTCCCTTGAACGAAGGATTGCAAAAAAAGGATTGCAAAAAAACCCTTCGGTGGATTGCAAAAAAAGGATTGCAAAAAAAGGATTGCAAAAGAAGGATAGCAAAAAAAGGATTGCAATCCTTCGTTTTTTTTGCAATCCTTCGTTTTTTTGCAATCCTTCTTTTTAGAGGGCGCGGGCCTCAACCATAGCATAGATGTAAGGCTGGCGCCGCCTCAGAAGCAGCCTGCTTCTAAGAAGCCTCCCCCCCTCCCGCCCCCATATCCCCTTGCGCCGCGCCACCAAAGGAAGGGAGGGAGGACATGGAGGAGGACTCAACAGGGCTCAGTAATCTTCACGAGGGGTGCCTCTGGGAACGGCTTCTTGGCCCTGGGCCCCGCTTCTTCTCCCCCACTCCCGCTCCCTCTCCCGCTTCCACTCCCCCTCCCGCTTCTGCCCCTCCTCCCCCTTGCCCTCCCGTTCGTCCTCCTCGTCCTCGTCCTTTCTCGTCGTTGTCGCACCTCCTTCTTTCCCCTTTTGACGTTGGCCGTACATGAAGCGCGAGACCTCCTTTCTCCTCCTCCGCCTTCCTCTAGTCCTCCTGCTTCTCCCGCTCCTTCTGCTCCTGCTGCTGCTTCTCGCTGTCCTCGTCGTCGTCCTCCTCCTCCTCCTCATCCTTCCTCATGCTCCTCATCCTCCTGCTCATCCTCGGGCTCATTCGCTTCTTCCTCGCCCTGCGCCAATGTACACAGCTGCCTTTCTGATTGCGCATCGCACGATCTGGTCGTTTGGGGAATCCAGGTCAGCTAGGACACCCGTTGGCTGATAGAGGAACATCTGGGCCATGGGTCGGGGTGGGCGGGAGGGGATAGGATGTCAGACATGGCGCGCGCGCCTAGTTTGCTTCCCTCCCCTCCCTTCCCTTCCCCTCCCTTTCTCTCCCTCCTGCTCTTGCGCCTCTGCTTCGCCCCTCCGGGGGAGAGACGAGTTGGAAGAAAGGCGGATGCAGGGCTGCAGATTAGCATGCCGCATGCCTTTTCTGGTCGGATTGGAACCACGCGACGACGGGCCGTCTACAGTGGAGGCCCATGCCAAGAAACACCCTGCTTGCCTCCAGGGTGCCCTGGGTCCCTTGTGTGTTCGATTGCGAAGGCCTGACGGCCGGTGCCGCCGACCCTGTTCGCAATGCGCAGCAAGAGATTACGAGGTTGCTCAAGGTCGGCTTGGCTGGAGCCCAGGGGAAGAGGAGTCCCAGGGGGGGGCGTCGTATCTGACCCGGGGGGGGGGTCGCTACCCCCCCCCCCTCCCGGCGGGGGAGGGATCAAAGGGAAGGGGCTTCCCTTCGACTCAAGCGAGGTTGCTCAGGTCGGCTTGGCTGGGGGAAGAGGAGTCCCAGGGGGGGGCGTCGTATCTGACCCGGGGGGGGGGTCGCTACCCCCCCCCCCTCCCGGCGGGGGAGGGATCAAAGGGAAGGGGCTTCCCTTCGACTCAATTACGAGGTTGCTCAAGGTCGGCTTGGCTGGAGCCCAGGGGAAGAGGAGTCCCAGGGGGGGGCGTCGTATCTGACCCGGGGGGGGGGTCGCACCCCCCCCCCCCTCCCGGCGGGGGAGGGATCAAAGGGAAGGGGCTTCCCTTCGACTCAATTACGAGGTTGCTCAAGGTCGGCTTGGCTGGAGCCCAGGGGAAGAGGAGTCCCAGGGGGGGGCGTCGTATCTGACCCGGGGGGGGGGTCGACACCCCCCCCCCCTCCCGGCGGGGGAGGGATCAAAGGGAAGGGGCTTCGACCTTCGACTCAATTACGAGGTTGCTCAAGGTCGGCTTGGCTGGAGCCCAGGGGAAGAGGAGTCCCAGGGGGGGCGTCGTATCTGACCCGGGGGGGGGGTCGACACCCCCCCCCCCCTCCCGGCGGGGGAGGGATCAAAGGGAAGGGGCTTCCCTTCGACTCAATTACGAGGTTGCTCAAGGTCGGCTTGGCTGGAGCCCAGGGGAAGAGGAGTCCCAGGGGGGGGCGTCGTATCTGACCCGGGGGGGGGGTCGACCCCCCCCCCCTCCCGGCGGGGGAGGGATCAAAGGGAAGGGGCTTCCCTTCGACTCAATTACGAGGTTGCTCAAGGTCGGCTTGGCTGGAGCCCAGGGGAAGAGGAGTCCCAGGGGGGGGCGTCGTATCTGACCCGGGGGGGGGGTCGACACCCCCCCCCCCCTCCCGGCGGGGGAGGGATCAAAGGGAAGGGGCTTCCCTTCGACTCAATTACGAGGTTGCTCAAGGTTGCTCAAGGTCGGCTTGGCTGGAGCCCAGGGGAAGAGGAGTCCCAGGGGGGGGCGTCGTATCTGACCCGGGGGGGGGGTCGCTACCCCCCCCCCCTCCTGGCGGGGGAGGGATCAAAGGGAAGGGGCTTCCCTTCGACTCAATTACGAGGTTGCTCAAGGTCGGCTTGGCTGGAGCCCAGGGGAAGAGGTCTCCCAGGGAAAGGGAAGGACAGAGACGACGAGTACAAAGAATGACGGAGATGACGGCTCGAACGGAAAAGCCCCCCTCACACACGCCGACAGGGTCGGCGGATTTTTTGCAGTGGAAAGCGTGACGCTCCCACACCAGAAATCAATTGACGCCCTGGGGTCTCAGAGTTGAGATTCTTGTGTAAGGTTTCTCGTGGACTGGCCTCCACCGTATCGCGTGCTTCACTGGTGCGCCCTAATGGCTGTGAGCCGTTTGGCACCTCTGCGCTTGACAGATCTGCTGCTCGTGCCATCGTTTTCTTTTGCATCGGGGCACGTACTCGGGCCACTGCTGCGAGGAGCCTGTGTGGGGACCTCGTGCGTTCTTGGCGCCACGGGATTGGCCCACTCTGCCTTTCAGGATTCGGTGGTTCTGTTCACTTGCGGCCCGCCCTGGCCTCGCGCACTGTGCTCTGTCTCTGCTTGCAGAAGTTTTTGGATTCATGTGGGTGTGACCTCAACGCCCGATGGCCAGCATTGCAACCTTGAGCACGCACTGCCGTTGGGCATTGTTCGCAGGAACGACTGCCAGTGATGCTGTCCCTGAACATTTGAGCGGTTCGCTGCTCTTGAGCATCCTCCCCCCTTCGTCCTCCTCTGCCTCCTCTCAACTCTGCCTTCTCCTCCTCTGCCGCTTCCTCCTCCTCGTCCTCCTCCTCCTCGTCCTTCTAACCTCCGCCTTCTCCTCCGCATCCTCCGACTCTCCCTCCCGCCCCCGCCCCTCTGCTCCACCCATCCCTTCCTCCATGGATCTCCAGGGGTCCCGCAGGTTCCCAGAGGTCCAGCAGGCCTCCTCGGCCTCCATAGACCCCCAGAAGCTTCCAGAACGTATACAAACCTCGATCCTGCATTCGCCTTCGACGTCGCAATGCTGTCGTGCCGTGGGCCCCTGGGGATCTCGACCACATCCAGAGCATCAGCTTTTCATCCTGTTCGCTTTTCAACGCTTCAAGGGCCGGGAAATGGCCTCCCGAGTTTCAAAGCGTATAGCAACCGACCGACGTTTTTTTTGAGACGCCCAGATGTGAAGTTCGAGTCTCGATCTGCCTCCCTCTTCCCTCCCACCGCCTCCCAGGTGGGTCCACGTAGGCCGGGTGGGTCTGGTGCCCCATGGGAAGATCGGTTTTTGGGCCACCCTCTTCGGCATGAAGGGCGGCGGTAGGAATGAGAGTTGTGCTGCGATCGTGGCCCTGTCCCACGGCCTCTGTGCTCCGTCCGAGCATATTTGCTCCTGCGCCTCGGCACGAGCATCGCCCCCCCCCCCCCCCCCATGCCGCATCCAGCCAGCCGCCTCCCAGGCCTCCTCGTGTTCGGCTCGCTGAACACCCTCATCATGAAGGTGAGCGACGCAACAAAAACGGGGCCGTCTGCGCCGACATTGGCGCGCAGGCTCTGCCCGCGTAAGCTCGCGCGCAAGCGCCCTCGTTCCCAGTGCAGCGTGCCGCGCTGGCGGCCCGCGTAAGCCGCGGCGTAAGGTCGCTGTGGCACCTCGCGTGAGACCCGTTTTCAGTCGTCGCTCAGGTGATGTTCACGATGAAGAGCGTCCGCGCCCCGCCCGCCCGCCCGCCGCCGCCGCCGCGCGGCCATCGCGCGGAGCAGGGTCGCGGGCCGTGCGCCCGCGCCCGGGGACGCCCCTGCGCACGCGGTCGCCTGCACGGGACCCCGCCGGGACCGCCCGTCGAGGTGTAGCTGGGGGCGCGCAGCAAGAAACCCAGATGCCAACGGTGCCGATAGCAACGATAACGATCACGATCACAACGATCACAACGACAACGATGACAGCGATCGCGACGACAACGATGACAGCGATGCCAACGATCACCGTTGTTACCGTTGTTATCGTTGGTATCGTTGTGATCGTTGTCGTTCGTCAGGGTACCCTGGGTTTCTCCGCTCCGCGCGCCGCGTGGCGACTTCTGTAGCGGCCGAAGAAGAGGCTGCTGCGCTCGGGGTGGGTTTCCCCGTTGACATCTCGTGCGCGGGGTTTTCGGGGCTGGGTTTCTGGCGGCCTCGCTTGCACTGTAGTCTTCGGGGGCAGCGGCTGGATCCGCTTCGAAGCTCTGGTCACAACGCACCTCATGACGTTCTCGTGGGTTCTCGACCGTTTTCCAGCCTCGGGATGCGCTCCAGCAACTGCGCCTCGCCGACGGCGTTCTGCGGGTGCCCAGGTCGTCCCGAACGGCCGCCCGGAGGGCCGAGATATGACCCCAAACAGGGGGGCAGCGTTAGGGGGATGCATCCCGCCTCCGGCCTCCGGCCTTCTGAAAGGTCTTCTGTGTCGTCGGGGAAGGCTTAGAATCCTTTGGAAGGCCAGGGGACTTCTCGGGTTGATCCAGAAGGGGGGTCCAGCTGAAAAGGGGTGGTGCAATAGTTCTGGTGCCATAGATTTGTGGGGCTGCAGTAGTTTTGGGGCGTGCAATACATTCTGGTGCGCAAATGTATTGCTGGGTTTTCGCGTGCAATGCATTAGCTGCAATGCAACTGCAATGCAATTCCCTGGCGCAGTACATCTGCAATACTATTGCCCCACGTCTGTTACACCACCCCCTTTCTGCTGGACCCCCTTCCTGGGTCAACCAAAACTTCCGAGCCTTCTGAGAAGGCCCGCCCCTTCTGACTGCTCCCCGTGCTCGCCGCCAACTCACGTTGCCCCTCACGGCATCGCGTCCGTGGGGCCCCAGAGAGTCCTGCAGGGGACCTGCCACGAGGGCCGCTCGAGCGGCCCTTGGCGGGCCCTCCTGCGGGCCTCTTCCTCGCGCGTGCCGCTCCGCCTGGCGGGGGGCCTCCGCTGCGGGCCACTGCTGCGCCCGATGCCGCGCACGGCGCTGCCGAGGGCAGCGCCGCACCGTGAAGCTCGCGACGCTGGAGTTGAATCCTCTCGCCTCGCGGGGTGCACGTCCGGAGCACGTACAGTCCAGTCGTTGTCGGGCCTCCGGGAACTTCTTGGGGGCCCTTTGGAGCCCTCTTTGGGGCCTCTTGGGTCCTCGCGGAGGCGTCCCAAGTGCCTTTCCTGGGTTCCTGGGCCGCACGCAGGGACCTCTAAAGTGCTTCTCCTGGGCTGCCCGCAGGTACCTCCAAAGTGCCTTCCCTGGGCTCTGGGAGGCCTCTTGGGGGCCTCTGGGAGGCCTCTTGGGGGCCTCTCGGAGCCCCGTGTGGGCGTCTTGGGGGCGCTCTTGCGCTGTCTGGTCCCTTCGGGGACTGTCTTGGGGTACTCTAAGGGCTGTCTTGGGGGCCTCTTGGGGCATATCTCGGCGGCCTCTTTGGGCTGTCTGGGGGTCCTCTTGGGCCATTTTGGGGCCTTCTTGAAGGCTTCTTGGGCTGTCTGGGCGCCACTTCGGAGGCTGTTTCGGCCGTCCTGGACCTCTGAGAGTCGAAATAGGCGGGAACGCTGAAATCTTCAAAAAGCCATTGGAACCATCAATGGTTTTTGGCTTCTGGAGGTGCTCTTGGGGGTCCTCTGGGGGCCCTCTTGGGGTCTTGCTAGGCCCTCTTTGGGCCATCCATCTTGGGCCGTCTTGGGGCCGTCTTGAGCCGTCCTGACGCCTTCGTGGCCCCCCAAGAGGCCCAAGAAGCTGAAATCAGAGATTTTATACAGGTTTTGGTAGGTTTTGGGGCTCCCAAAGGGGGTTGCCAGGTTGGGTCGATGGATGTGGCGTAGCCCCTGGGGGGGGGGGGTAGGGGGGAGACATCATAATGTAACACAAGACAGTATGCAGCAATTATACAATTATGGGGTACAATGGATACGTTGCATTACAGCATCCGCGGGAAACGCTGCCGACGTGGATTCCTCTCGCTTCGCGGGGTGCACGTCCGGAGCACGTACAGTCCAGCCGTTGTGGGGCTTTTTGGAAGCCTCCTGGGGGGTTCTTGGAAGCTTCTTGGAGGCTTCCTGTGGCGTTTTGGGGGTCTCCTGGGGGCCTCTTGGCGGCCTCTTGGGGGCGTCTTGGGCCGTCTTGGGCCGTCTTGGGGCGCTTTGGCGCCGTTTGGCCCCTTCGGGGGCCTTCTTGGGAGCCTCTCGCGGCCGCCTTCGGGCCCTCTTGGAATCCTCATGGGCCGTCTTGGGGGCCTCTTGGACCGTCTTGGGGGCCTCTTTGGGCTGACTTGGGGCTCCCTGGGGTTGTCTTGGGGCCACCTTGGGTGCTTCTTGGGTTGTCTTGGGACCATTTTGGAGGCTGCTTGGGCCGTCATGGGCTTCTGAAGAGCCGACAACACCGAGAACGCTGAAATCTTTGAAAAACTAACAAAAAATCATGTTTTTGGCATCTGGAGGCCCTCTGGTGGGCTTTCTTCGGGCTCTCTTGGGCCATCTTGGGGGCGTTTGGGGCCCTCTTGGGGCCATCTTGGGCCGTCTTGCGGCCGTCTTGTCCCGTCTTGAGACCATCTTGAGCCGTCTTCACGCCGTCTTGGACCCTCAAGAGGCCCAAGGAGCCGAAATCATCGATTTTCCACAGGTTGTTATAGGTTTTGAGGCCCAGAAGGGGGCCACCACTTTTGGTACGCCCGGAGGTCTGGCGAGGGGCGCACGGGAGCGGCGCCGAGGGCGCCGCCCAATGAGTGGGTCGTCGTCGTTGCCGTCGCCGTCGCCGTCGCCGTCGCCGTCGCCGTCGCCGTCGCCGTCGCCGTCGCCGTCGTCGTCGTCGTCGTCGTCGTCGTCGTCGTCGGCGTCGGCGTCGGCGTCGGCGTCGGCGTCGGCGTCGGCGTCGGCGTCGGCGTCGGCGTCGGCGTCGCCGTCGGCGTCGGCGTCGGCATCGTCATCGTCGGCATCGTCGGCGTCGTCGTCGTGGGCGCTGGCGGTCAAACCTTTCGCGGGCGTCTGAACCTGATGCTCGTGCTCTTTTGGGGCCGTCGCCGAGGTTCGCGCCGAGGTTCGAGCCTCGAGGGTCGAGGTTCGTGGCCTTCTCTCCGTCGAGGGCTTCCCCGTCGCCACGGCTGGACGCAGCTCGAAAAACTGACGACGACGACGCAGAGAACGACGGTTTCCCGCTGCCCGAGCCCTGTCGCGTTGCGCAAAGTCGCCACCAGCAGCGGAGCGCTGAGCCTGCCCGACGGCACACAGGGCAAACATGTTTGTCCCATTCAGGCGCAGAGACTGCGAGGTCGCTGATGCCGCGTGGATCTCCTGAAAAACAGATGTTGGCTTGAATGGCATGCCGTCTCCTGTAGTCCTCTGCGGTGGCGTTTCCTGTCGTCTTCTGCGGTGGTCTGCCGCGCCGTCCTGCAATCGTCGAGGCATCCATATGGAAACGTCCTGGAGTGGTGAGTTGGGAGCTCCTTGGGTCCCTTTCAGGGACTTATGCCGGCTTTTGGAAGGCTTCTCGGGCGCATTTGAGAACCCGTGAAAGCCGCTTGGGTTTTTTTTGGGGGCGTCTTGGGCCGTTTTGGGGCGCTATTTCGGAATCTTTTGGGGGGGTCATGGAGGCTTCTTCGGGGCTTCCCGGGTCTTTCGGGGGGCCTCTTGGGGGCGTCTTGGGCCGTCTGCGGACGCTTGGAGCCGTTTGGCCCCTTCGGGGGACTTTTTGGGGGCCGCTCGCGGCCGCCTTGGGGCCCTCTTGGGGTCGTCTTGAGCCATCTTGGGGTGCTCTTGGGCCGTGTTTGGAGGCCTCTTGGATCGTCTTGGGGGCCTCTTTGGGCCGTATTGGGGCCCCCTTGGGTGCTGCTTGGGCTGTCTTGGGGCCATTTTGGAGGCTGCTAGGGCCGTCGTGGGCCTCTGAGAGCCGGGAGAGGCGAGAACGCGAAATTCTTTGAACAACTGAAGGACAATCGATGTTTTTGGCCTCTGGCGGCGTTCTGGTGGGCGCTCTGGGGGCCCTCTTGGACAATCTTGGTGGCTTTGTGGGCCCTATTGGGGCCATCTTGGGCCGTCTTGGGGCCGTCTTGTCCCGTCTTGACACCATCTTGAACCGTCTTCACGCCCTCTTGGATCCCCAAAAGGCTCAAGGTGCCCAAATCATAGGTTTTCCATAGGTTTTTCTAGATTTTGAGGCCCAGAAAGGGGCCCTCCTCCTGAGGGTCGATGGAAGTGGCGCGACTCCAGGGGGGGGGGTGGGGGGGGGACACATAATAATGTAACATGAGACAATATGTAGGAATTATGCAAGCATTGGACACATTGGATCCATTGCATTACAGCATCCGCGGACCTGCCCGCTGCCGACGTGGATTCTATAGGCTTACGCCACATCCGCCGACCCCTATATAAACTAGTGCGCCTCCATGACTGCATTTCACGAGGCTTGTCCGAATCATGAACAACGCGCTCGACATAGTTCCTGTTGTTTCGTTGCTGTTATCATACCTCTTGGTACTCTTTTGTGGCCTTTTGGTGGCATCTCGGCCTGTCTGCAGGCCATACCTGGCCGCCTCGAGGCATCTTGGGCCATGTTTTGGGGCCTCTTGGGGGCTTCTTGGAGGCTTTGAGGCTCTCTTGGGGATCCCTCAGGGCCTCTCGGGGTGTTCTTTGGGCAGGCTGGGAGCGTCTTGGGGCCGAAGGCTCGAACAGGTGTCCTCTGGACTCCCTCTTGGAGCCGTCAGTGGGCCCTCTTGGGCTGTTTTGGGTGTTTCGTGGGCTGTTTTTGGACCCTCTTCGACCCCTCTTGGGACCCCCTTCGGCCGTCCGGGGGCGATATCTAGGTTTCTTTGCCCGTCTTGGATGTCGTGAAAGCCGAAAAGGCGAGTGTTCGACAAATGCTGGTTTTCCAAGGGGATGGGACGGTTTTTGTTTCTTGGGACCCTCTTTGGACGCATCTTGGGGGCCTTTTGGGGCGTCTTGGCAACTTCGGAGGCCGTCTGGAGGCCATCGTGGGCGTCAAGGAGCGATATTTTGGCGACTCGTGGCCCTGAGGGACCGTCTGAGGAGCGTTTTGGTGCTTTCTTGGTTCGTTTTGGAGCCCTCCGCTCCTCCATGACGCGTTCGGTCCGGGGTCGGGCCAGGCCAGGGGGCGGGGTTCAAATTGCCGGTTTTGGGTCCCTGGGGGGGGGGGGAGTATGGGGGGGGATAGTCTCACACGCCTAAAGACCCACAGGGGGTCGGCGGATTAGGGTGATCTCCGTCGGATCCGAGGCCCCCACAGTTCATTGGACGCCGAGTTTTTCCGGTCGCGATCGGTATAGCGACCGATCGGCTTTCCAGAGCGATCGCAACCGATCTCGCGACCGATCCCAGCCTCGGTCGCGACCAGTCGCCACCGATCGTGGCCGACTGGTCGCGACCGATCGGTCGCGACCAGTTTTGAAGCGAATCGGTCGCGGCCGATATTGAAATTTGAAACAAAGTCGGTAGCGTCCATTCTCGTCGGTCGCGACTGGAACATTCCAGTATCTAATGATCAGGGTCGGGTATAACCAGCTGGGTAAGGAGAGCCGGGCCCCGAAGCCCTCTGAATTTGCCAGAGTCACTAAAAACCAGGTCTGCCGTAGCGGGTGCTTCTTCGGGTGGCGGCAGTTCCGGATAGTGGCATGGGGCGGGGGGTATCCACCGGTACCTGTCTCTAGACGAGGTCCCGCGAAACCCAGTCCCTCCAACGCCCGATTGGAGGACCGCGCCGGACGAAGAGGGTCTGGGAACAGTTGCGTCGGCAGCGCGCAGGGGTCCGACCCTTCGCCCGAGTCGTAGAGGCTGAGTGCGACGCGTTCGCAGCGGCTTACGCGCTTGGGCTTGGCCCCCCTCGCGCCCTTGCGAAGCCGCGCGCCAGAGGGCGCTCGTGCCTAGGGTCACTCTTGCGTGTGGCCGACTGCGAACCCTACTCGCGCGGTTCCAAACCATCGACGCTGGGGCATCGGACACCCCCGTTGGGATTCGCCCGAGTGCAGACATCCTTCGAGGTTCTGAGCCCCTGCCCGCGACACTGGGGGGCTCATATTTCTGAGGCTTCAGGTATTTCAGAAATCTGATCCGCAGGGATTCAGTGCGTGCGCGGCCGCAAGAACCCCTCGCAAGAAGCCCAGCCCTGAAAAAAACCCAGAGCACCACGTACTCAGCAGCTTCTTCCAAGGCCTCCTCCTTGCTTCTTCCTCCTTCCCGACCTCCTCTTCCCATCCTTGCCATCCCTGCCTCTGCCCTCCGCATGTCTCTGTTTCGGCACACCGCTCATCCCTTCAGTGGCTCCACACGGAATTCCACCGACGGCCGCAGTGGCTGCGTTTGCATGGCGTACTCGCAGCACACGCCTCACGCGTTTCGTGGCCCTATATGGGACTCCGCCACAAGTCCCAGTGGCTGCGCTTGCATGGCGTACCGTCCCCATCTCAGCACACCCCTGACACCTTTCGTGGCCCCATGGGGAGCTCCATCGAAGGCCCTAGCGGCTGCGTTCGCATGGCGCACTCGCGGCCGTTTCGGTATTCCCCTGGCACGTATCATGGTTCCATATGGAGCTCCACCACAAGCCCCAGTGGCTGCGTTCGCGTGGCGTACACGTGCCCGATTCGGCACACCCTTGACACGTGGCCCCAAAGGGAGCTCCACCGAAGGCCCCAGCGGCTGCGTTCGCATGGCGGCCCCGCCTTATTCTGGCACACCCCAGACACGTTTCGTGGCCCCACATGGAGCTCCACCGAGGGCCCCAGCGGCTGCGTTCGCATGGCATTCCCGCGCCCGATTCGGCGCCTCCCTGACACGTTTCGTGGCTCCAGATGAAGCTCCACCGCAAGCCCCAGTGGCTGCGCTCGCATGGCGTACCCGCCATATTTCGGTACACCCCTCACGCGTTTTGTGGCCCCTTGGGGAGCTCCACCGAAGGCCTCATTTGCTGCGCTCGCATGGCGTGCCCGCGCCCGATTCGGTACACCCCTGACGTGTTTCAGTCAGAAGCCTTGCACCACACGGTGCGCTAGCAGAGGTGGAAAATGCATCAAATGCGACACGATTGCACTGCCGACGCCCACGCTCGCGCTGCACCGCCCTCCGGGCGGAAGTACGCAGCCAGGCGAGCGGGCGTGCCGGCCACTCGTAAACAATTGTTCATCACCATGTTCCCCCAGCTCTGTCGGGGCCGGCCTCTCTTCCTAGGGCCAGATGGCGCTCGCAAGTCAAAGCTATCAGGCTCAAAGACAGACAAACGCACGGGGTCCGTGCCAGGGCGTCTAGCAAGCTTGCCCATGAAAATCATTTGTTGTTTACAGATTTGCTCGCTCAGATTCGCTCGCTGACGTGTTTCGTGGCCCCATGTGGAGCTCCACCACAAGCCCCAGTTGCTGCGTTCGTATTGCGCACCTGCAGCCGATTCGGCACACCAGCGACACGTTTCGTGGCCCCATAGGGAGCCCCTTCGAAGGCCTCAGTGGCAGGTTTCGCATGACGGCCCCGCCGTACTCTGGCACACCCCAGGCACGATTCATAGCCCCACATGGAGCTCCACCGAAGGCCCCAGCCGCTGCGTTCGCATGGCGTACCCGCTCGATTCGGCACACGTTTCGTGGCCGCCTAGGGAGCTCCACCGAAGGCCCAAGGGGAGGGTTCGCATGGCGTACCCGCCCCATTTCAGAACACCCCTCACACGTCTCGTGGCTTCATAGGCAGCTCCACCGAAAGCGGAAGCTACACTGCGTTAGTCACATTTGCATATAGTTGGGTCTTGCGCCCGTATATGTTTGGTCTGGGATTTTAGGGGGGTGTTGGGATTGCACACAGCAGTCAATATGCTGGGGCCTCCACCGTCCCTGTCAAAAACCAATGCAAAATGATCGCGGGGTGTCCGCGCATGAGCCAGATATGCAAAGTGCATTTTGATTTTTTTGACAGTGATGGGGGTGTTGGCGTTACACACGGCAGACAATATGCTGCCTCCCCCCGTCGTCCTTGTCAAAAACCAAGCAAAGTGATCGCAGTTTGACCGCGCGTGATCCTGATTTTGGAGGTGCATTATTCTTTGATTTGTGACATGGATGGCGAGGCGGGGGCCCTCATTGTCTTTGGCTTGTCGCTGGTCGGGTGGGGGAGGAGGTGTATATGCAAAAAGAGCAATTCTGAACCCCTTTCCAAGGAAGAAGAAGGGGAGGTTGGAAGAAGAACCGCCTTGACCCACGCCCAGAGGGCTGGTGGGGTTCCAGTCTCCGGATTCTTTGCTCGGATTCCGGATCCGATCTGGGATTCGGCTTTCTGCTCGTTGTTTGGGGTTCGATTGCGACCTGCCTTTCCGGATTTCCGATCTCTCCTCCAGCTCTTCACCCCCTCTTGCGAGTCCTCAGAGACTGTTCTTTCCGTCGGGCCCACGCGCGCCCATCCCTGGCCCTCCCCCGGTTTGGCCAGGGCCTCCGCGTCATGACCCTACTCCGTTCGAGGCTCCCATCCGCTAATCCTCCTGTCGTGCCCTCCTATCCAGACCTCGTCCACTCCCCTGCGAGGCGGGGATCTATCCATAGCCATCGCCTGGGGGAGATCGACCCTCGGGGGCCCCGGTGGGCGGTGAAACAATACCTCACAAATATGCAAACATAGTCAAAATAGTACAAACCACGTCCCCATTTTTTAGGGGGACTATTTTTGAACATTCCTCCAATAGAGGGACATGCCCGACGTAAGGCTAGACAATACACATATCCACTGCCCCCTTGGGTCCCAGGATGCTGTTTCCCCACGCGGTGGATCTGGATAAGTTCCCGCCTCGCATCCCTTCCTCTCGCTCTGCCGCCACACTGCCCGCCCCCTCCAGCCAGCACGTTCTGCTCACCTGCGCTGCCCGCCAGCACGGCTGCTGCCCCTTGCGACGTGAGGTTGGACCGTCTGGCGCGGAGGAGCACTTCGAGAAGCCATG